TTCGAACTTACCTCGGTCCAGACGCGGCAGGCAGGCTCCCCCGTCGACTTCACGGTACTCCTCTCGCTGAGCTGGAGTACCGCAGTCGACGGCGAGCACTTCCGGGTTCGACTTATCTCGTCCAGACAAGACGCGATAAGTCGAACCCAGAAGTTCGATTTGCTTGCCGCCGAACTACCGGGTAGTGTAGACCTACCCTTAGTGAATAAGATCATGTAACTAGTTGTGATGAACTAGTAGACATTCTAGTGTCTCACCATCAGGGTTCACTTGTTGAGTTGGATGGTAGCCTCGTGAATCTACAGTGTATTATCCAAAACATTTAGGGTTGTTACTTAGAGTTCAATTCACAAATTGCTGTTCTTTCAATAGGGCAGCAAGACCAAATGCTGATTTTTAGGAGGGCAGTGTGCTGAGGGAGGCCTCTCCCCACTCCAGAAAGCAACTTTAATTAAGGCTTCAGGAGGTAGATGGGGAACTAAGGGACTCCTAGAGGACACAGGACTTTTACACTCCTTTTAAATGAAACACAGGGCTTGAGGGAATTGCACTTAATCTATAACTGTCCAGGCCCATGACTCCTGCAGCAGGGCTTTTTGAGGCAATAAGATTTGAGAATAGTACTGTGGATAAGTAGTTCTTAAAAATAGCTGTCATTGGTACGGAAATGGTGCAATTTTCTGTGAGCCATATTGTAACTTGTTACAGGAATATCTTCTAGTGGCAGTAATATCACATTGGTAATAGGGCTGTCAAGCGATTAAAAAAATTAATCTCAATTGATCGTGCAATTTAAAAAAAATAGTGATTAATCGCATGATTAACCACGCTATTAAACAATAATAGAATACCATCTATTTAAATATTTGTGGATGTTTTCTACATTTTCAAATATGTTGATTTCAGTTACAACACAGAATACAAAGTGCACAGTGCTCATTTTATATTTTTAATTACAAATATTTGCATTGTAAAAAACAAATAGTATTTTTCAATTCACCTAATACAAGTACTGTAGTGCAGTCTCTTTATCATGAAAGTTGAACTTACAAATGTAGAATTATGTACAAATAAACTGCATTTAAAAATATTAAAATTTTAGCGCCTACAAGTCCACTCAGTCCTACTTCTTGTTCAGCCAATTGCTCAGACAGACAAGTTCGTTTACATTTACAGAAGATAATGCAGCCTGCTTCTTGTTTACAATGTCACCTGAAAGTGAGAACAGGCGTTCGCTAGGCATTGTTGTAGCCAGCGTCGCAAGATATTTATATGCTAGATGTGCTAAAGATTCATATGTCACTTCATGCTTCAACCACCGTTCCAGAGGACATGTGTCCATGCTGATGACGGGTTCTGCTTGGTAACTATCCAAACCAGTGTGGACCGACGCATGTTCGTTTTCATCATGAGTCAGATGCCACCAGCAGAAGGTGGGTTGGGTTCTGTAGTTTCCTCATCAGTGCGTTGCTCTTTTAAGACTTCTGAAAGCATGCTCCACACTTCATCCCTCTCAGACTTTGGAAGGCACTTCAGATTTTTAAACCTTGGGTTGAGTGCTGTAGCTATCTTTGGAAATTTCACATTGGTACCTTCTTTGCATTTTGTCAGATTTGCAGCGAAAGTGTTCTTAAAATGAACAACATATCTTGGGTCCTCATCCGAGACTGCTATAACATGAAATATATGTCAGAATGCGGGTAAAACAGAGCAGGAGACATACAATTCTCCCTCAAGGAGTTCAGTCACTAATTTAATTAATGCATTCTCTTTTAACAAGCGTTATCAGCTTGGAAGCATGTCCTCTGGAACGAACGCCGAAGCATGAAGAGGCATATGAATCTTTAGCACATCTGGCACGTAAATATCTTGCAATGCCAGCTACAACAGTGCCAATTGAATGCCTGTTCTCACTTTCAGGTGACACTGTAATTAAGAAGTGGGCAGCATTATCTTCGGTAAATGGAAACAAACTTGTTTGTCTTAGTGATTGGCTGAACAAGAAGTAGGACTGAGTGGACTTGTAGGCTCTAAAGTTTTACATTGTTTGTTACTTAACTGCACTCAAAAACAATCTACATTTATAAATTGCACTTTCATGATCGAGATTGCACTACAGTACTTGAATTAGGTGAATTAAAAATACTATTACTTTTATAGTGCAAATATCTGTAATAAAAATATAAAGTGAGCACTGTACACTTTGTATTCTGTTGTAATTGAAATCAATATATTTGAAAATGTAGAAAAATATTCAATACATTTCAATTGTATTCCATTGTTTCACAGCATGACTAAAACTGCGATTAATCGCGATTTTTTAAATCATGATTAATTTTTTTAGTTAATCATGTGATTAACTGCGATTAATTGACCGCCCTAATTGGTAATCAGTCTCTTTGGCATGTGAGCCACTAAACAGTATGTTAGTCTCTGTAGTCAATTAAACGCCTTTGCAAGCACACAAATGGGGAAAGGGAAGCAAGAGAACTATACTAGATTCAATTATTTGAAGCTAAGCCACTTCTCCAAATAAAGTGTGTGGTTTTTATTCTGCTCTTCTAGGTATCAGAACAAGGGTTGATAGAAATACTTGAAAAAGTGAGCCAGCAAACAGAAAAGAAAACAACAGTAAAGGTAAGTTTTTTCCAAAGGCAGTGTAAACTTGGTTCAAACCTGTTCTCAGACAATGCAGAAAAATAAAAGGCTAGGGCCAACAATAGTTGCTGCACATATTTCATGCTATTTCAGGAGGATACACTATTTGTATGTTTAAGCTATATAACTGCTTAAATATACATTTAGATTCTTAATTTTACATTTTTGTTAGACAATAGTCCATGCATTTATTTACTAGATCATTTTTTACTCATGACTTGTCAGGTTGCATTTGGATGAAAAGTGGAATTCAATCAGTTGCACAAAAAACATTTTCAGATTTTTTTTAGTTAAATAAAACTACCTTGAATGCACAGAATACATAAGTTTATTAAAACATGTTTTGCATTTAAAAGTGATTCTTTAAACAAAGGAAATATCTGTAGTTTATAGCTGACCAGCATGCCTTCAAGATTTTAGAACTGGTAGATCTTCTCATACCTCAGTTTTCCTTTTCCAATGAATAAAAATATCATTCCTCCACTTTCATCTCCTGGTTGGTTTTTCAACTTTGCATTAGCTAGTAATTGAATTGAATTAGTGGAATAAACTGAAAGAAAATATTCTCTCTGCACCTGCAGAAGAGGCTACTGCTTTTAAAAGCTGATTCCGGATTTCAAACTTTGGTTCCATGTGCTTAGCCAGTGACCAGTTCAGATGATTGACTTTCTTTAAATCTTTGGCAGCAAACATGTACTGCTTGAATTATTTTTGTAATGATTAATAGGTAAGTTTAGCCCTTAATGTAGGTTAATTTCAAATTTAATTTTACTAGGTTTTAGAGTATTAAATTAAGTCTAATTTTGATTTATATCATAGAATTTTATCCATCCTGAATAGTTACTAAAGTAACTGAGTACTCAACTATGAAAGTAGCTTTTGATCACAGAAGTTGGACAATATTTTAGTGCTTGCTATTTTTCCTATTGTCTACACCCTTGGTGATGCTCACTGTGAATCTGCATTACTTCTGCACTGATAAGAGGTTCTGGAAGGTTGTGACAGGCTATTTAAACACTTAGGTAAAAATTCCCTCTTCTAAATGTGTAGCAAGGCCAAAACTCAGCAAAACCATAATAATTCTATAGGATAAATTCAGGCTTTAGAAATATTGTATTGGGGACTGTAACCTTGTACCTTGGAGCTGAGTTACAGGAGGAAGGTTTGTGGGCTGGGGTTGTAGGGTCTGCAAACCACATAGGTCCACTGGTCACAAATATTTTTACAGGGAGCAACGGGCTGTAGCGGCTACAAGTCTATAAGTTACCATAGACTGGTTGCCCACAGCCCTTTCTCTATGTTGCCATGCTGGGGAAGGGAAGGATTGGATTCTAGATTCCATCCACACAGCACCTATGTGGACTACTAACTTGGATAAGCATTGAGAACTTTGCCCTTAGTGATTAACTTGAGTCTTGAATCTTTGAAGCTGGAAGGAGTTGCTGTAAACTGAATTTATTGTGTTTGTTTCTAGTTCAACAGAAGAAAAGTACTGGATTCTGATGAAGAGGATGATGATGATTAAATGCTACTGTAAGATTGCTTAACTGCCTGGAAAAAGGCAAAGAAAACAAAGTATAGGCAAATTGAAAGTTCTGATAATATTTAAATGTATTTGCTTTCTGCATTTTTTTTTGATAAAGGTCAATAAATAAATGAACTCATGTTCTGTAAAACAAAATTTGAGAAGGGTTTTTATAGCTTAACTTTTTGTAGTATTAAAGAGGCCTGTGTGGTATGGATTTTCCCACCATGTTCTTAGCATGAACTTTCCTTTGTCCTACTCAGCATGTAAGCTATGCTATCAGCACCTGCCACTCCGTAAGTTGTTGCTACCATAAGAGAGGTCTTGGGAGGGCAGTAAAAGTGTCTTCGGTTGCAAACACCCAGAGCCTGTGGGAGCTGAAAGAATGACAACTCTCTCTCTGTCACAACAGTTGATACAGAAACAAGAATATCCTTTAGTTGAGGGGTTATACAATACCTCACTGGTTCTCAGACTATGGCCGGTGGAACCTTTTGTTGGAGTCTGCAGAATAGAACAGCTGCTGAACGAGTTGGTGAGAAGAGAGGTGGTTCTTTGAGAGGACATCTTATGTAGTCTGCTGGATGAAATTGTACATAGCATATAGTTTGATTGAATCAGTTTCTTCTGGAAACTGTCAAGTTGTCTCTGTCTCTGCAGAATGAGGTTAAAAAGTTGAGTAGAGTAGATATTCAGTTGTGACTGAAACTTAATTGGATAACTAATGTAATACAACTCTATTCAGATAGTTGGTAACACCATGTTCTTTATTCTCCTATTTAATTAAATGGTTGGAGTTTATTTTTGTCAAAAAAGGAAAGGCACCTGCTCTAAATTCCATGTGACTTGCATGCATAAAGTAAAACTGACCCTGTGTTGTCGTCTTATTTGAAAATTTGTGGTACAAATACTGTTACATCTTGTGTGATAAGATGGAAGTGAAAAGGGGAGAGACTTCACTACCGGAGAAGAGCTGTTTTCTGCTTTCATTTAAGAGCAACAGTGTACACTATTCCAACTGTAACGGTTTGGAACTGATTAAAATTTTGTTTAAAAAAGTATGAGCAGTAGTGACTGTTTTTCCATCTGTGTGAATATTGTAAAAACTTTGATTACTACAGCTGGTGTTTGTCAATTTTGTATTTTTAACTTGCAGTCTACATTACCAACTTCCTTATTTAAAATGGCACTCTATTGTAGGCTATAGTGCTTAGCTTCTACGAAGGTGATACCTCTGTGCAATCTTCATGTTTAAAAAAAACCCAACCATTTAATTTTAGTGCAGTGAGAAGTTAATAGAAAAGCCTATTTGTTTAAAAAAACGATTTGACTCCTTTCAGAGAGCAAACTGGCTTTTGCAGTAATAATGTCTACTTTTTCATTGTAAATAAGTAAGACGTGAAACCCCAGTACAATTTGAATCTCATGTGATATCAGGGCTTTAGTCTGCAGTTGTAGAGTATACTGGTAAACTGTTTAAAGTGCTCTTTAAGTTTGCTCCCCATCTTTCTCAACATTAACCATCTCATTATTACTAAAGGAGGATTTTCCATTAGATGGGTTTAAGATGCTACTGAATTTACTTAAATTTAGTTTAGGCCATTTCCTTACGTATCAGAAGAGTGAAACTGCTTAGTGTGGTAAGATATTGTTAGATGGTTGGCTGCATGTGTGTTTTCTCTGTGTGCTGTCCCAGCTCTGCACAGACAGTTGGTACAGCAGACCTCGATCGCACTGCCCAATAACCACAGACCCGTTTGTAGCGAAGGAACTCTTGCCATGTTTATTGTCACTGAAGCATGGTCCTAGTGTACAGGTACACTAATACAGGTATGCCCATTTCAATGGACTAGTTCAGTTAATGGTGGGACTTTCCATTATCCCCTAGGCCAGCCAAAGACACTCCCTCAGTGTCATTTTATACATCAATACAAACAAGTTATATATTGCCCCTCTGATGTGATTTGTTACTGCCCCCTGACATGGGTTGTTACCATCCATTACCTTGTACATGTTGATTTGATCAAAACATCTCTATCCATCATATTGTCATCCTGACCTTATCTTTAGGAGGGGTCAATATGCTCTCGTTATCTTTATACCATACTTGGTATGGGGTGTTTGTGTTCTTGTGTGTAGCACTGCTTAGGAATATGTGTTTCTACAATATCAGTCCTATTCTTGCCAGATTCTGTGAGCAGGCCCTGCCTTTTACTCACAACTTAAGTTTACTTCATAGCAGCAAAGCTTTGAGTCATTTTGGGACTGAAGCAGTCATGTTTCTCATACTGGATTACAAAGAGTGGGAGATAAGTGTCAAACATCTAGTGAAACATATCAAACAGAGTTGTTATAAGAACAGGAGTACTTGTGGCACCTTAGAGACTAACAAATTTATTAGAGCATAAGCTTTCGTGGGCTACTGCCCACTTCTTCGGATGCATATAGAGTGGACCTGTCCATTTCAGCTGAAAAAAATAGGTGGGTTTTATAAAAAATAAATAAAAAAAGTGCCCTAAATGTTCTGGAACCTGCTTACTTGAAGGACTGCCCCTTCTCTGTGCCATGTATGATCATGTTAACAGCAATGATGGAACTGCTGAGGTGGGGGGCTTCTCCCTGAAGTAGAACAGTCTGTGACTTTAGAATTCACACATGCTGTTTCAGAGCAAGAAGAACTTGACCACATACAGACTATACTGCAAATCCATTGTTTTGAAGAGGTATTTGGGGGAAAGCTGTAATGAGGGGAGTCTTGGTTTGCTCAGTGAGATTTGCTGTATGTATTGCACTAAATGGATGGATGACCTAGAATTTAGCATAGGTGTCGTCTTGGTTTTTAAAAAACTACATCCCAACCTATCAGTGGTTGGGCACTTCTAGTCAAACATCAAAAACTTTGTTCAATGTGCCACATCATTTTAGTGTCTCCCTGTTTTGATAACTGAAGCACTCTAGCAGTTTTGAACCATCCATCCATGTTACCCATGCTCAGGCCTACTTATTATTGTAAGTATCTGAGATACTTTCACTTCTACAGGGGAAAGTTAAGATTACTGAAACTTTTGAGACCCTTTCAGGGAGGCAATCACAATAGTATCCCAACAGACAAGGCTGAAGATGCAAGCAGTGTCCTCCAAATGAAAAGTTAAACAGTGATTGGGAAACAGCTCAGACTCAGGCCAAAAAAAAAAAATTAAAAAAAAATCAATGCTGAAGCTTATTACAAACACTATTACGGGAGCTGTTTTATTAATTGCATAGAAATAGGTTTGAAGTATGAAGTATTTTGCAGTAAGTATTGTACCGTATTGAAATTTTTGTTAGGAGTTGCATCTAGTTTGCTACTAGCAACATTTAAAAAGTTTTAACTAGTTAATTTCAGATCCTCTTACATTTATCTCTCGTTTTTTCCCAAAAGGAGAGAGAGAGCAGAATTAGAAGTGTATTTTCCAAAGGAGAGGGGTCACTGAATAAACAGCATGACAAATCTTGTTGCCAAAGCTAGTCTCCATAATAGGTTTATAATAAATATCTAATGAAATATACTTGGACTGTTTGAATATGTTGCATATCTCTTTTTATACTTGATAGTAATATACTATTGCAACTATTAAAAGCATCTAATTAACTGAATCTCTCATTATCCAACTTCATTTTTTACTGAAGCAGGCAGATAGGCAATCTTTTGTTTAAGAGAATGCTGTAATTAAAAACTGAAATTAATCCCCACAAATCAATTCTAAAAATGTGCTCATGCTTTCTCTTTAAGTTTACCCATATTTTAATCTTAAATTTACAAATGATACCTTGCTCCTTCCACCTAAACATGTCCAGGCACTTTATAGAAAATAAATTTGGCCATGAAACAACCCTATGTTAAGTAGGTAATTAACCCAATTTCACATAGCGTAACAATAAGGGATTTGCCATAGGTAACATTCAAAGTCTGTTTTGAGGACCAAAAGTACAGTCCATGTCTCCTGCTGTAATTTAAGCACAAGATCATCCTTTTTCTCAAGTTGTTTATAAATAGTATGGGGCAGAAAGGGAAGGACATACATTGAAGTAATCTAGAAATAGGAAATATCCCATTTAAATCCAACTGCTTCTGTAACTTTTTCCCTTTTATAGGCAGGCCTTTATATTAGATTAAAGAAAAAAGCTCAAAGGGAGAAAAGCATGTTCATTTGTTCAGTGGTAATATGAAGGTGTGGGGAAGGGGAAGCCATCCAAACTTAATGTAACTATTCCTAAACCATCCTTAGGCTTAAAGTAAAATAGTTAAACATTACGTTACAATAACAGTGAGAAGACCGTGCTAAAGGGAGTCAGTTTTTAAATAAGTAGTCAAAGTTAAGAACATTTTCAAGAATCATTACTTTTACTATTTTTCTTTTCCAACATTTGGCACAAATCCAAGGCAAGTTAGAAAATTAAATGAACCCAAATTATTTAGAAAAATATACATGCAACCTTCATCTTAGAGTTTTTTCATTTTTCAAGCACTTTTTACTTCTCTCATTAAAAATTATTTGAAAATAATCACATGGGAAGTCCTCCAATTTCACAGTGCCCTAAGCATAGTATCAATACCACCATAAAAAATCAAAATGGTCTATATTACTATTTTATAAAAGAAACAAAATGTTAATTGGATGTGACCACCTGTAAACCAAAACTATCATTGAGAACCTGAATTGTGCTATTGAAGTCTTTTTCTTTTTAATTCACACTTAAAAAAAAATTTTTAAACTGAAAACATGTTAAGAAACAAGTTCAACATCTAAGCTTCCATCTAGTTATCTATGAGCATCCTTTAAAATATCACCTTTTAAAATAGGATAACATGCAGCCAGTTTCTGCAAACTCTTACTTTTCCTGCCAGATAACTTACCTAGTAGCTGTAGGCTTCGTGCAGAGGTGTGAATGTGTGTGGCTTTGTCTGATTTGTTCAGGGGGAAAAGCCAACTGTGTGTGTTAAGCATGCTTGTCTCTGCACAGAAATGAGTATTTTAAGTGGGATCTGAACATTCTTCAGTCCAAAGCTGTTCTGCGGTGAGAGCATTTTATTTTATTCCATCGCCAGTAGTACATGATCCTACAGACCCTATACAGGTAAATGTTCCACTGAAATCAGGGGGCGCTTTGTCTATATAGGGACTGCAGGATACTACCGTTCACGTTCATCTCATGCTGTAGATTTTTATGGACTGTTTGCGAAGCTGGTTGCAATATACAGAAATTACATTAATTTCTAAAATGCTATTAAATAAATATAGTGGTTCATAGCATTATAATAAAAATAGAGACTTTTGAATTCCTTCTGGCAATAAATATAATATAACCAATTTAGTGACAAAAACTGAAAAGAAAAAAATAATTCAATGCCTTTTAAAAAAACAGGAGTGGGTAGCTAGAAAGTACTATATAGCCTTTCTCCTCTACTGTTATAAGTAATTTCTTAATAAGTGCTTTGAAAGTGGAATGAGAAACAATCACTTCTTTCTGTCTAAATACTTTGACATTTCAATATGTCTCAGTTTCCTGAAATCAGTCACAAATTGGCTGGGGAGGGGTTTCCACGATAAACAGAGGATTCAGTCTTCAAAAGTGCAAGCCATATGGGAACATTCTACCTCTGCTAAAGATTCATCTTTATGATCCATTTTTGAAAGCAGTTTCTAAGCATCATTTAATTCTTTAATGCCCAGCAGGAGGATCTTGAAACTGGCACCACCTGGTTCTTTAGTTTTTGGCAGCAAATTCACACTTCCTTGTTAGTGTTTTGATAGCAAGTCACCAGAACAGTCTTTTGACAGTGAAATACTTGGATCTCTTGTGTTGGATAAATCACTGTCGTCACTGACATTCTCTGCTGAAAGTGCCACACTAACTGTGTGTCTTCGGTGCATTAGTTTACTTCTAAGAGGAGCATCTATCACATCATCCTGTTTCGCAGGTTCACCATTGCTTTCTGCGTCAATAATCTTAACTTTGCTCTGATCCAACATCTGGTCAATAGGTTTTAACTTGGTCTTATCAAAGCTCTTAATAGCTAACTGTGGGAAAGAAAAAATGGTACATGTTAAAGGCACTGTATATTTTTCTGCCCATAAAAAGGTCAAAAGACTACATTTTAAATATAAGCCTACAGATTCGTTCCAAGGTCTACTTTTATTAAACAGTATTATCGAAAAGTACGTAAGGCATATAGCCAAGGATTAAAAGTGCTTTACAAAGAAGCATAATCATTACATTTTACATATGGGGAAACAAGTACAGAGATGTTAAGTAATTTGCCTAGACTATACAAAAAGTCACCAGCAAAGCTAGGAATAAAATTCAAGCTGTCTCATTTTCAGTGCTCTCTCTAAATCAAGGACTCAAGTACCTAAGCAACTACCATTTCTACCCTCCAAGACTACTGAGATCACCCAAATTGTCACTGCTCTCAGTTGAGACTTCCAGGCGTAATTGGATTGGATGCAGGATCCTTGTCTGCCATAGTGTCTCTGTAGCTGTCCTCAAGGCCTCTCTCTTTCATTCACTGCATCTTTAACTATTTTAATTCCCCCTTTCACACCTACTCTTGATTATTTTTTGCTTGGCAAAGGGGTGGTTCTCCTGGAACACTGGATATTTTACAGGAGTTACTTTATTTTTAGTTAAAGTTAACTAAAAATACTAAAGTCCAGGTATATTAATGATAGATGGTCTATGAATAAGAATACCCAAAAATAGTCATTACCAAAAGCTTTTCCTGAAACAAGATCTTCCAAAAGTTTCAGAATGGGCATCTCCAAAATTCAAATTAATGTAATAATTTAGAACTCAAAGCTCTAGTAAAATCATAGTGCTAACAGCCACCCATGGCAGAAGTACTGTATATTGTTTTTGCACATCAACTTTTTGGAAACCACCATCTTGGTATGACCTACTGCCTGATCCACAACCAAAAGTCCGAAATCCCACTGTTAACTAAACCGTTGATGTAGTATGGTTAGTATTGGTTAGAAGTAATAACGTATTGAGCATCTTCATTTGAAGATCTCGAAGTGCTTTACGAAGCCTCATAACTTTATGAAGCAGAAAAGCATTCTTCCATTTTACAGGTGGGGAAACAGTGGTGGACTGATTAAGTGACTTTCCCAAAGTCACAAAAGAAATCTGTGGCAGAGCTGGGAATGGAACTCAGGAGTTCCAACACCCAGTTTGCTGCCTTAATTACTTGCAAACAATCCCTCCCTAACAATGGGCACATTAGCGCTTATAATGTAAGAGCCATCTGGAATCTCAACACCAAGGTCTCCCACCTTAATGGTCTCTTCTAGGATTCTTGCTCAACCTACTTAAAAACCCCCATAATGTCAGTTTCATCTCCGCTTGACTACAGCTCTTTTCTCATATGTTCTGGCCCTCTAAGGCTTGATATATATCCCAGATTGCTCTGGGCAGGACACAGACAACACACAGATGGAGCCTGCAACGAGTGACTAAACAGAGGAGATGTAAGAACTGACATGAGTACTCCATAAGTGTAGAAGCAAATAAAATTGCTATATAAAGAACTCAAGCAAACATTTTCTCCTACCTGATGCAATAATTCGTCATCAAAATTAGGGACACTTTTATCTCTTGTTATTGTTCTCCGTAAATATTTTGATCTAAAAATATATTTAAAAAGGATTAGAACTAACTACAAAGCAACGTGTCTTTAGTGACAGTCTCTCTGCAACATAATCTTGTGGACTCATCAGCCACAAGATGGCAACATTTCAATAACATACAAAGATCGGGTACCTGAAGTGTGTATTCATATTAAAAACAAAAACAGAAAAAAAATCTAGTATTTTCTGTGAATAAACAACTATTGAGCATAGAATATACTTTGGATTTTACTACAGACCACCTAACTAGGAAGAATAGGTGGATGAGGCTTTTTTTAAACAGCTAACAAAATCATCCAAAGCACAGGACTTGGTGGTGATGGGAGACTTCAACTACCCAGACATCTGGTGGGAAAACAACACAGCAGGGCACAGATTATCCAATAAGTTCTTGGAATGTATTGGAGACAATTTTTTATTTCAGAAGGTGCAGGCAGTTACTAGGGGAGAGGCTGTTCTAGATATGATTTTCACAAATAGGAAGGAATTGTTGAGAATTTGAAAGTGGAAGGCAGCATGGGTGAAAGTGATCATGAAATGATCAAGTTCATGATTCTAAGAAATGGCAGGAGGGAGAACAGCAAAATAAAGACAATGGATTTCAAGAAGGCAGACTTTAGCAAACTCATGGAGTTGGTAGATAAGATCCTATGGGAAGCAAGTCTTGGGGAAATACAATAGAAGACAGTTGGCAGTTTTTCAAAGAGATGTTATTAAGGGCACAAGAGCAAACTATCCCACTGCATAGAAAAGATCGGAAATATGGCAAGAGATCACCGTGGCTTAACCAGGAGATCTTCAATGACCTAAAAATCAGAGAGTCCTACAAAAAGTGGAAACTAGGTTAAATTATAAAGGATGAATATAAACAAATAACACAAGTATATAGTACAAAATTAGAAAGGCCAAGGCACAAAACGAGATCAAACTAGCTAGAGACATAAAGGGTAATAAGAAAACATTCTACAAATACATTAGAAGCAAGAGGAAGACCCAAGGTAGGCCTGTTACTCAATGACAGGGGGGAAATAATAACAGAAAATGTGGAAATGGCAGAGGTGCTTAATGACTTCTTTGTTTCAGATTTTACCAAGAAGGTGGGTGGTGATTGGACATTTAACATAGTGAATGCCAGTGAAAATGAGGTAGGACCAGAAGAGGCTAAAATAGGGAAAGAAGAAGTTAAAAATTACTTGGACAAGTCAGATGTCTTTAAGTCACCAGGGCCTGATGAAATGCATCCTAGAATTCTCAAGGAGCTGACAGAGGAGATATCTAAGCCATTAGCAATTAATTTTGAAAAGTTATGGAAGATGGAAGAGATTCCAGAAGCCTGGAAAATGGCAAATATAGTGCCAATCTATAAAAAGGGAAATAAGGAAAGCCCAGGGAATTATAGACCAGTAAGCTTAACTTCTGTACCCAGAAAGATAGTGGAGCAAATAATTAAGCAGTCAATTTGCAAAAACACAGAGAAGATAATAAGGTGATAAGTAACAGCCTCGATTTGTCAAAAACAAATGATGTCAAACCAAGCTGATAGCTTTCTTTGACAGAGTAACAAGCCTTGTGGATTGGGGGAAGGGGGAGAAGCAGTAGACGTGGTATATCTTGACTTTAGTAAAACTTTTGCTACTGTCTCACATGACCTTCTCATAAAGAAACTAGGGAAATGCAACCTAGATGAAGCTACTATAAGGTGAGTGCAAAACTGGTTGGAAAGCCGTTCCCAGAGAGTAGTTATCAGTGGGTCACAATCATGCTGGAAGGGCATAACAAGTGGGGTCCTGCAAGGATTAGTTCTGGGTCCGGTTCTGTTCAATATCTTCATCAATGATTTAGATAATGGCATACACAGTACACTTATAAACTTTGTGGATGATACCAAGCTGGGAGGGGTTGAAAGTGCTTTGGAGGATAGGATTATAATTCAAAATGATCTGGACAAACAGGAGAAATGGTCTGAAGTAAATAGGATGAAATTCAATAAGGACAAATGCAAATTTCTCCATTTAGGAAAGAACAGTCTGTTGCACACATACAAAATGGGAAATGACTGCCTAAGAGAGAGTACTGCGGAAAGGGATCTGGGGATCATAGTGGACAAGCTAAATATGCGTCAACAATGTAATGCTGTTGCAAAAAAAGCGAACATGATTCTGTGATGTATTAGCAGGAGTGTTGTAAGCAAAACACGAGAAGTAATTCTTCCGATCTACTCCACGCTGATTAGGCCTGAACTGAAGTATTGTGTCCAGTTCTGGGCATCACATTTCAGGAAGGATGTGGACAAATTGGAGAAAGTCCAGAGAAGAGCAACAAAAATTATTAAAGATCTAAAAAACATGACCTCTGAGGCAAGATTGAAAAAACTGGATTTGTTTAGTCTGGAGAGGAGAAGACTAAGAGGGGACAGGAGAACAGTTTTCAAGTATGTAAAAGGTGGTTACAAGAAGGAGGAAGAAAAATTGTTTTTCTTAACCTCTGAGGCTAGGACAAGAAGCATTGGGCTTAAATTGCACCAAGGGAGGTTTAAGTTAGACATTAGGAAAAACTTCCTAACTGTCATGGTGGTTAAGCACTAGAATAAATTACCTAGGGAGGTTGTGGAGTCTCCATCATTGGAGATTTTTAAGAGCAGGTTAGACAAACACCTGTCAGGGATGGATCAGTGGTTCTCAAACTAGAGCTGCCGTTTGTTCAGGGAAAAACCCTGGCGGGCCAGGCCGTTTTGTTTACCTGCCACGTCCGCAGGTTCGGCCAATCGCGGCTCCCACTGGCCGCGGTTCACCGCTCCAGGCCAATGGGGGCTGCAGGAAGGGCGGCCAGCACGTCCCTTGGCCTGTGCCGCTTCCTGCCTAGGAGGGAGTACTGGCCTGGAGCGTTGGCCTGGAACGGCGAACTGCGGCCAGTGGGAGCCGCGATCAGCTGAACCTGCGGACGCAGCAAGTAGACAAACCGGCCTGGCCCGCCAGGGGCTTTCCCTGAACAAGCGGTGGCCCTAGTTTGAGAACCACTGGTCTAGATAATACTTAGTCCTGCCATGAGTGCAGGGGACTGGACTAGATGACCTCTCGAGGTCCCTTCCAGTCCTATGATTCTATGTATAAGAGCTTAAATACAAGTATCTGCAATTATCAAAAGAGTTATCATCATCATCACAGTTTTCAAATATCTCAGTGAAGCAGTGCTTGGAGGAGATTTTCAAAGCAGTCTAGATGATTTTGCCACACATTAAAATGAATGAGAAATGTGTAGTAAAATCCCTTAGACTGCTATGAAAATGCCAGCCAAAGCTTATCTGGAGTGTGATATACGCTTCGCCCATTTTCTTCTTTATTTAAAAAGTTAGGTTTCTTACTTGTTGGGAAATGACGTCAGTGGTATTTCAAGGAGGTTTCTATGCTTACTTGTTAAATCTGTTGATTGATTGGACCAGTTGAAGTCGTCTGCTGATGGGATCATCTGCTGTCTCAGGTAACTTAACATTTACTACAGGTTCAAAAAACCAGGAGCGGGGATGGAGAATGGAGGTGAGAAATTAAATTTCAGTCATATTTTAGAATCAAGTTAGAACAGTTTTGAATAGAAAAGTGGTATCTGCTGAACTTAATTTTTAAAATCACGTTAAAAACTATAACAGAAGTCATCTGAACCAGTCACATTTTCTTCTTCTTGGATGTTTTAAGCCATTTTAATTTGCAAAAAGAAAGAAACATAGCCCTGATCAGATGAGCATGACTGTCCCAGCTTCACAAGGGCATTTTGTTAAACTATGTAAAAATAGTTCTCAAGTTCAGGGACTTTAGTTCAAATGTTTCCAAGTCAGAATCAATTGACGAACAACCACCACATAATCCCAGTGTTATTCAGATTTATTATGTCATGGCTATCTTACAGTTCTATGAAACTGCCACCATCATTCCTGAAAGTAGCATTTCTGCCTCTCGCATCAGGATACTTCTCTAACTCTCATGTTAAACTACAAAACATTTAACATCTTTCTTAAGAAAAATTATGTCAGAAAATCACCATAATCATTTGTAAAAGCTCACAAAATTTGCAGGTTGGCCAAAGCAAGTTTTTAAAGCAGTGACTCAACTTCATTTAATTATCAACATCATCATTCACAATACTAAGAGCTACTGCCTGATCCACAACCAAAATCTGAATCCCTGTGTTAACTAAAGCCTTGATGTATTATGTTTAAACTGATCACATGTTAAGGGCCCAGAGGCTACTAGTCTCCCATTCTAGCTTCAAAGACCTGCTGTGGAGCTTGTCACCACTGTCACAGCAACAAACTTCCCAAAATAGGCAGGCCTGGGCATTGTGTACCGTGGATTCTAATTAGCGCCCAACATTATTTTAAACGACTACTGAAACTCTGATTTTTTTAAAATGTATTTCTCATGAAAAGATGTGATTAGTCCTGTAGCAGGAATAGCATTATAATTGTGAAAACAGTAGCAACACTGAAAACCAAACTGCATTCATACATTTGGACATCATTATAAATCAATTATTTTAAGAGATACACATTATATTTTGATTCAACCTTATTAATGCCTGTCCAAAAGTGTCTGATGTCATAGTTATGGTAACAAAGTTACATACGTTTGTAGAGAGTCCTCAAAAAAAATCAATACTGAAGTTTATCTATTAAATAAATTAACTAATTTTGGTAGAAATAAGATTTTTTCCCTGTAGTGAACGTTATTAAGATGGATGAGCTTTTGAAGCATTGGCAAGTAGGGCAAAACATCCATATGGGTACAAGCTAATTAGAAAGAATGCTGGACCTAGTCCATCACTGTTCCTTAGGGCAAAACAAACAAAAGGATATGTCTGACTCCAAACATCCGGGGGCTACTAAAAAAAGTAAAAATAAAGTTCCATTCATCCTGGAGGAGGCTATAACATCACATAACAAAAATTAATATATAAAAATAAATGAAGTTACGGGCTGTAATCATAGTTCCCTGCAGAAGACTGAAAGGCACTTCGCTTCTCCAGGACTACCTGGATATGTCTACACTGCAATTAAACACCCCCAGGTGGCCAGTGACAGCTGACTTGGACTTGGGCTAAGGGCTGTTTAATTGTGGTATGGATGTCCAGGCTCAGGCTGAAGCCCAAGGTCTGGGATGCTCCCCTCTCACAGGGTCCCCAAACTTGGGCGCCTGCCTAAGACCGAATAGCTACACTGTAATTGAACAGCCTCTTAGCCAGAGCCCGCAAGCCTGAGTCAGCTGACATGGGCCCGCTGTGGGTTTTAATTGCAGTGTAGACATACCCCCTGATGCTAAGTGCTAACACAAAATACATTACATAACATATGTATGTATTAGGTAGGCAAGCAGTGTGTGCCTCAGTGTGTTGGTTTGGATTGCACCAGGTGTAAGGATATTTCAGGACCACCAACCAGACCCGCAGGTTACCTTATGAACCTAGCAAAGCAAAAACCACTGCTTGCTGTAGCAGACAAATCCACTGCTATCCCTGAGTTCAAATTCAAGGAACGTGTGTATTTCAGCATAGGTACAGAATGCTACCGCCCAGTGATCAACTGGGATGTAACGAGTCGATGAACTGGCTGCATGTACACAAACAAAAGCAGAGACTTAAGTCTTCCTTACACCAGGTGCTGCTCTCTTCTGATGCTAAGCACGAATGCAAAATGCCACTTATCTTTCCTGTTATATTGCTCCCCCTCATGTCAGCTCATCTGAGAAATTGAAGAGCTGCAGGTGGATTTTAAGGCAAGACTGGCACTTTGCCATAGCTTAGTGCAGAGTTAGTAGCACTGATTGTATTTGTTTCCAAACATGAGCAGCTAGTTAGCACAACTCCTGAGAGTACTTCCTTCACTCAGTTTTCAAGGCAGCTTTTCAGCATAAATAACTTTAAACTCAGATTCTACCTATTTACTTGACTATTTGAACATATTTTTTTCAGATTAAATAGGTCTTCAGTGAAGTAACATAGATCCTAGCCCTCTCTTCTTTCCACACACCTTTCTTAAAAAATATCCTTACATATATTAAGAGAAGACCACAAAGCAAACACACAGGAATACTGAATTAACAAATTCTCTTCTCCCTTTGTATAAACACAAATGGACCTCTGTACGTTACAGATTCCATACTGTGTAAAAGGAACAGCCAACCTGAAATCTAGTCACAATTTTAAAAAGTAAACTAAAAGCAGTGTCAGGTACCACCCTCTCTTCAATTCCCCAGCAGCTGTGATGGTTTTACTGCCACATTTTCCCCACTGTTAAATGTCTCTCTTCTGTTGATAGAGACTCACAAGCAAAAAGAGAAAACTGACTACTCAGAAGAGACTATGAAAGTTGCGCAAAGTAACATCAAATGCACAAGGTAAATTTAACAACCAAATTACTTTCCCTCCTCCAATCTTTTTCAGTTACAGTAAATTTAGGTGTTACCTGTAATAAACAGTATGTAAAGCAGCTGACTGTTCCTTAAAGCTATATTATGTATAAAATAAATACTACAGAATATCTGATCTAGCACACATTCATCCCCAAATCTCTTCTTTCTATTTATACTAATAAAAATGTGACACATACCTTTTTTCCTGATCTTGATAGTAACATGCTGCTCATAGTCTGTTTCTCCTCCCTCCGCTGATGTTGGTGCATAGCTTGGTGCTGTTTGTAGCAACTTCATGATATTTGAATTCTTAACAACAAGAGTTTCAGTTTTCACCATTATTAGAACAAAGAAAACATCAGTATACATTAGGGTTCCAGTAGTCAATGTAGAATGTGCTGGTTAATCATTTTCAGCCAAAATGATTGCAACAAACAGCATGATATACACCTTTATAAATACAAACCTACAATTACATGACTATTTTAATCTCAGGTTTAAATGGAAGCAGAAATTCGTCTAATGTTCCACAAGCTCTGCTATTCCAAACTGGTGAGCTAAAGGTTGTATTCTTCACAGATGTTCTACCATTAAAATATTCCAGATTTGGAAAAGATGAAAGTTACCAATTCTACAAATTGCTGTTTTAAACCGGGTAATTTATGGGTTGATCTAATTTATGAATAAATAATAGAAGTAATAAGATCCAGGCAGCAGTACACTTTAGGGCCACTATCACATGCCTTGGGGGCTGTTATAGAGCACAAAGCTGAAAGCAGAGTGACTGTAATCACCCAAGCAGTGCAATAATCCCGTCTAATTTAATATTGTGGAGCATTTATTGCTATTTCTAAATGGGGGAGTTAGATCTGTGCATTTAACTAAACATTATGGGTGGGATTCCCATCACTCACAGCCAGTTAGAATATCCCAATTTTGTCTTGAGTTCTAAAGCATTACTAAAGCAATAACTAGGGGAGCAACCATAGTAGATTCCTAGAGTGCTGTTCCCTCAGAGCACAACTATATACTATATATGGGCTATACCCATGTGGTTCAGAAAGGAGGCTTTTGCTGTTTTATATTTTAAAATATAATCTTACTCCCATTTTCTTCTTAAAAAAAAAATCAGTCACTTTAAATTTCCCTGACTCACTGAACACAGTGTGTTACAAGAGGTAGGCACGCCCCAAAGGGCAAACAATAATTCAGGTAAGGGAGAGTGTGAGGAGGTTACTAGAGAAGATGAGACTAGTGTAGGATGTATTCTTGGAAGAGAGGGCACCAGGCAGGCAAGGAGTGGGGAGCTGTTCCAAGCATAAGGTAGCAGCCTGAAAAAGGACAATAAAAGGAGTGATTTAGGAAGAGAGTAGGGAGTAAGAAAAGGCAATAGGCTGAAGCAAGAAGACTTGGAGGCAAGATCATGCATGACCTCTGAAGGGGAGGCTGAGAAGGGCTTGAGTTTGACATGGTAAGAAACAGCAAAAGGGAGTGAAGGGAAAATGTGGAGATAGCTGGAGTGAGGAATACAACTAGCAGTGTGGCTGATATCAAATCTGAGGGGGAGAGAAGAAAATGGAGGACTGGAAAAAAAGGTTTCTGTAATCAAGGTGAGACATCAATCAGGGAGTGAGCAAGGTTTGCATCAGAAGAGAGGTACGTATGGATGTGGAGAATGAGGGGGAAACTGTATTATTTTGCATGAATTTTATATGTACCCCAGTTTATTTGCTTGATATTAATTCTGTCTGACTACACAGAGTTAAATCAAAGGGGCAGTTAGGGGAAACAAAATAAGCAGGAAATGAAAAAAAGAGAGAAACCTCCACAGAGAATACTGTCTGGGAGTCCTTAACAGAAAGTGAGGAGAGGGGGAAGAGATACACTATTGAATCAGGAAATGCCTACCCACCTGGTTCCTGATTTATTCCCCCAAGGCCAGAACCTAGGATCAAAGGGATACTAAACCATTAAAACCCTCACCTAGAGAGGAAGTTGGGGCTGGGCAGCAGCTGCTCAGGGGAAACAGAGAGAGAGAGAAGCTTCAGCAGGGCTATGTTGCTCCCAGCACAGAAATGGATATAATTGAGCTAAGTGGTGCTTATCAAAATTTGTAAGGAAAGTTTAGATTAGACCAGATTCATATAGACTTTTGGTGTTTTAACCCTTTTCTCTTTGCTTGCGAGGTTATACACCTTTGGGTGAATAAACAATACATTTGTTCTGAAGAAGTTGTTTTGAGGTCACTATAATTAGCCACTGGTCACAGGCTCCCAAAGGAAAGTTTCTTGCAGGTGCCTAATACAGTTAGGCCTGTCGTATTTACAGGCACTGTAACACAGGGCACTGCAATCCAGAAATCCAAGTGATTGGAACACAGCGAAGAGAAGGAAGCCAAGCCAGGCACCTAAAGGATGTACTCAAGAGGGACTGCAAATAGGGTGACCAGATGTCCTGATTTTATAGGGACAGTCCCGATTTTGGGGTCTTTTTCTTATATAGGCCTCTATTACCCCCCACCCCCTGTCCTGATTTTTTACACTTGCTGTCTGGTCACCCTAACTGCAAATGGGTTTAAAACATTGCTTTCCCTGACAATGGATTTTGGAAATATATGATAGGAGACAAACAAACAATCTGAAGAGCCCTTATTCCTTTGAACAATCTGCCTCACTATTATCTATGGTAGAAAGCATTCAGCTTCCCTCAATGGACTTCTTTTCTCCCCTTCTGCCATTCCCAGCTTGAATTTTAACTTAACGTTCACACATTTGTACGTCTGTATGTGTTTATGCTGCTTCCAGACTAATTTTTTCTTCTGCATAGTATATGCTTAATTTCAGAAATAAAACAAGCAAGGATTCTCCTAAGGGAGAAAAAAGAATTCTAGTACTTAACAATATGGTCCTTCAAACTGTTCTGACTCCCCCAACCATGAAGTACATCTAGTGATAATTTAAGTCAGAGAATTACTTGGTCTGCATATACATAAAGCTTCCATCCTCTTTTACTAAAGTATGTTTTGTTTTGTCTTTTCCCTCCCTGATGGCATATTTTGCTGTGGATTTCAATAAGTAACCAATGCCAGTTTTTCATTAAGAGTTAACAGAGATGGGTACCCCAATTCTATTTTGCTTTCACCAATATGTTTGCAACACAGTTCCTTGTGGTACATGCTGTTTTAGCCCAACAGTTCTACTGAAGCTACATGGAATTAAAAAAACCAAAACAAGTCAATTTCTAGTCCTCTGGAAACAGAGTTAGAATGCTACTGAAGAGCTCAAATGTGGCTGTTCAAACAGAAGGAAATTTTGTTTAGCTGGAAATTCTCAACAGACCTGTGATAAAACAAAACTGAAGGAGAGAAATGATATTGTAAGATGTTAAACAAAGACAAGATTTATCAAATTAGCACTAGAGCTTCATTGTGCTTCATGATTTCCTGCCTATCATTTTAAATTAACAGTATTCCTGACAATCTTCGCTTATGTTTGGCTAGAAATGGTTATGTGACAAGCCTGTACGATTCCATTTTCCTCCTAAAAGATCAATACAGGGGTTTAGAACAAGCTAAAATGGGACAACTAATACTAGAAGTGGACTTCTTCACCTACCAGCTCAGCACAGTCAAGAGGTGTACGCTGCCTTTTGTTCCTAATGTGGTTCGAAGCACCATTCTGAAGCAACAGCTCTACCAAGACTTCATGTTTTCCTATCACAGCCTCATGCAGTGCTGTATTTCCCTTGCTGTTAGAAAGGTTAACAGAGGCCCCATGCTGGAAGGAAAAGTAAAAAATTGAATTAAATGTTATAAGGAAAAAATAGCATCAACTGGAGGCAGCACACTACCTTTCTCTTTGTCTCCTGTAAAAAAGCACATAGAGTACTATACCAAAACAATCAATTAGAAACATTACAGCTACATACAGAAAGTGTAGATTTCCACAGTGAAATCAACAGCAATAAACCCAACAACAATGATCATTCTCCCCTTAATTTCATGAATCAACTTATCTAATTTTGCATACATCTGCTACATATCCCAGCTCATGTTGGTGAGGCCTGAGAGAGAGTTTTAAGAAGAAAATGCTTTTGGTATATTATCAACTTTTGCTACCAGTTATCTGGAATTCTGATGACATACACCAGGATCAGGAAAGCTAGACACGAGGCACTAAGTTGTTAAATAATAAGTGTTACTTGCAATAACATTACAGGAGTATTTATCTAAACAAAACACCATAGGGGATGGAGTTAAGGGGGTGGGGAGGGAGGGATGCAGAACTGCTCTCAATTTTCCTTCCAGAAGTTTTACAAGAGAAATGCATTACTAGTATTAATACTAATGTTTTGTACTCAGTACATGTAATATTAAAGGTTCATTCACAAGAGAATGGATATTTTAAACATAACCTTTTCTGTGAAGAAATCTTACCTCTAACAACAAGGCAGCAATCTCATGTTGGCCATTCAAGCAAGCATAAATTAAGGGAGTATTTCCATGTACATCCTTTTTATTTTGTTTAGCATTGCAATCCACTAGACACTTTACTACCTATGGGAAGAGAGATATTAAAATGCCAGTTTAAAATACTTTAACTTACCAGAATCATAGAGTTAAAATACCACTGTAGTTACTGCATCACCATTAATGACACTTCTAATGGAATATATTTTCTGATACTGTAAATCAAGACTGAAGTGTTTCAGATACTCAGAACCAGGTTTAATTTAAGAGTCCCGCTGATGTGGAGAACACTGGTTTAAACTAGGACAAAACCTAGTTCTTGAACCTTGTGTACCCCTTGGTCCGTGTTCCTATATTGTGCCAACTTGTTATAATGCCAATAAGGAGCATCTTATGCAGACAATCTAAAGGCTGATTTGTTACCTATGCCCATCAGACTTATATGGGCCTACATTTTCAAATGTGACTACTGATTTTGGATGCTCAGTTTTTGAAAACCAGGCTTGTTCAAAGTGGGGCTGCCAAAAATGGAGGCACCCAAATTTACCAGTCAACTTTTGGAAGTTAAGTTCCTGGAGAATGAACAATGGAAAAAGCAGTAATTTCAGTATATGTTTCCACTGGTCATGATAAGAAGGTTTAGTTATTTTAAGCACCTAATCTAGGAATGCTACATGCAATTTACTTTCCTTTAAAATAAACAGGCTGGAGGAGATCCTTAAAGGATCCAATATAAATTTAACATTCAAAGAAAATCCAGATAATGAAAAGATTTTTCCTCTGTCTGAAGTCTGGATGCTTTGCTTGGTAACTATCTGGATGACACAGCAATTGTCATGGCTGACAAGCAGCAGCAGGATGCTTCTCTCCAGGTCAACTGCTGACCATCTGGCACAGTTTTCTACCTACTTTTCTTTTAATCTTTTGCTCCTTAGAGGTTAAAACAAGTTAATTTGAAACTTTCCGCACCAGTCCCCTATAGTCAGTAAAATAAATAACCTGGTTCTGGGACATGTGAATTATATGCGTGCGCATACACGCACACACGGCCAATGACCTTATAAAGGATGAATGCTCCACAGCAACGCCATCCTGGCATCCCTCATCCTAGTAGATTAGGGAGTTGTAGGATAATTGGCAGGGAAGTACTATACAGTATAACACCAGAGAACTAACATTCACTGACCTAGGAGTTGTGGACATCTTTTCCTCCTTTTCCTTGGGGGGAGGAGGGATGGCTCAGTGGTTTGAGCATTGACCTGCTAAACCCAGGGTTGCGAGTTCAATCCTTAGGGACTTAGGGCAAAATCAGTACTTGGTCCTGCTAGTGAAGGCAGGGGGCTGGACTCGATGACCTTTCAAGGTCCCTTCCAGTTCTAGGAGATGGGATATCTCCAATTTCTTCTTGTTTACATTTTCTTTACTATTTTCTCTCTCTCTCTCTTTAAAGTTCTCTTCATTTCAATTCATTGTACTGCCTTTTCATCTCTCCTTGCTACACTCCTGATTTTCCATTTTTCTTCCATTTCACTCGGATTTCTCATCCCCTTCTCCATTTCTGTCCTTTCCACCTGCTTTCTCACAGCTAATATTTCCCCCTTCCGTTTACTGTCTCCCCTACATCAGTCTCTTCACCCACTTTCTCTCCCCCACTCCTCCTCAACTAGCTTATTTTTCTCCTTCAGTACTTCCCATGTCCGCAGCTCAGCCTGGAAACAAACAGGGAACTGAACACCACTCTCAGAGCTTCAAGTGGCACGTCTCCCTGCTCTGGCTGTGTGTTTAGAGAGCAGAAGCACGTAGCACTCCCACCACAACAGTAAGGACACCGATGTATGCATGCATACACACACACGTACCCTTGAACTCTGAAGGGAGAGACTATTTTCTTCCTCTGTGAAGTTCTCAAAAGAAACTGAAGAAACCCTTTGAAAAGCCCAGGAGATTGACATGCCACTGGATGAGACGGACCCACCTGACTACAGTTTTGTCAACGGGAGAAGGAAGTTTCAATCCCTGGATCAGCATTACGCTAAAACTAAACTCAGGTGTGTCCAACACTGACCACATTCCATCTAAAAATGCAGCAGCAAATGCATTTAAAAGGAACTCAATGACTTCATGTCCTCAGAAAAGAACGGAGCACGACACAAAGAAAAAAATGACCCAAAGTATATGAATACATAGCCATAAGGGAGCCTAAGCCAGGCAATGAAATGGAGAGGGGATGAAATCTTGTGAAAATCTACTTAAAACAGCGTCACTCCCAGTCTCAGCAAGGCTAATTTCATGAGTTCTGTTAGCAGAAATTCTGCTGCTAGCAGATAGCTATTAAATTAAATTATTTTTAAATCTTTAAACATGAGGCAGAAGTTTTTAAACATGGGTTGAAATCGGTCTAAAAATGAATAAAAATATGTATGAAAAGCCGGTTGCACAAGACATTTATTATAACGTGTTTGATATGAAATGGTTCCATTTGAGCCAACACTTACATTATACAGTAATTTCAGGCCATTAAGAAGGAGAAAGCTCACACAAACAATTTCAGTACTGAGGGAGTGGTTACTGCAGCATGGGAGGGATCTTCTCTCTCTTTCTCAGGGGAGTTTTGTGGACAGGAGGTTTTTTTAAAGACATAAAAACCTTTAACTTCCTTTTTGCTCTACGTCAGGCTTACCACTTAGTTATTTTGGAACGTGAAATATTAGCAGAAAGCACTGCCTGATGCAAACTGCTTTGCTTGTTTGGCCACAAAGTTCAGACCACCACCAAAGAAGTTGTTTTTTGTTTTGTTTTGAAGTGAAAAGAATTCTTTCACATAAAAAAATGTTTGATTGACCCATAGTTCATAGAGTGGGTGTTACTGGGTGTATACGTTTTTCAAGCATACGTATGATGAAGAGACCGCTAGAGGTGATATCCTGTAGTATATATTACTTTTGTGGAGACTAGAACTATTACTCTGAAAGCTCAATTTGTCATTCTTGACACATCCATGCCAAATACAATATAAAAAGCACAGAGGAAACAACAATGTAAACAGTGACAATTCTTTGGGATACAGACCAGGGTCAAGACCTTCTATTCCAGAACAACACAAATCTATTCTAGTAAGTGATGTTACAAATACACGCTCTGGCTGAGAATGTTATCAGTAATATTGCTGGAGGGCCCAACCCCTCCCCCTAGAAACAGGACTGGATTCCTGCTGTGCTAGGTGCTGTAATAACACATATGAAGACACAACCCCTGCCCCAAGAAGTTAATAATCTGATTAAATCAACTTCAACCACAAAAATGTACATGGAAACCACATTAAAAGTCTACTCCACAGCATAGGTATCAGAGAGGTGTCTGAGCTTAGGAGGCTAAAGTAATCACAAAACTAAAATCTTTTCAGTCTAGAAGCTCTTTAAATGGTTAATGTGGGATAAGTCATTCTACCTTATAATGAGAAGTGTCCAGCTGCCTGTATATGGAAGCTTTAAACTGCTGAAGCTCAAATAATTTTTAATACACCCAGATGTGCCTCACTTGAATGTAAAGATATTTCTCACTGTTAATACACCATACAAGGTGAGTTGTAAGGAGTCAATGTCAAAGTAGTTTGCGGATTGATGAAATGGGTTGAAGGCTAATGGGTTAGTTCTTTCACTCCAGGAGGCCTAATTTTCACTGCATGTTGACGACTGCTGCCAAGTGACAAGTCAAGACAGTCTCTTGGACCTGACTATGCTTCCAACTGAAGTCATAAAACTCCCACGATCTCCAATGGAAGTAGTACTGGGATCCCAGTGAGTTAATGAGAACCATCAAGGCCTCACCTATTCAGGTCACAGATTCCCTTGAAATACCTTTAGTTTCTATGTTTGTACCATATAGAGAAGCTCACTTAGGCTGGGTCTACACTACCTGCCTGAATCGGCGGGTAGAAATCGACCTCTCGGGGATCGATTTATCGCGTCCCGTCGGGACACGACAATCGATCCCCGAATCGACGCTCTTACTCCACCAGGGGAGGTGGGAGTAAGCGCCGTCGACGGGAAGCCGCAGAGGTCGATTTTGCCGCCGTCCTCACAGCGGGGTAAGTCGGCTGCGATACGTCGAATTCAGCTACGCTATTCACGTAGCTGAATTTGCGTATCTTAAATCGACTCCCCCCTGTAGTGTAGATGTAGCCTAAGAGAATACAATGGATGCAGAAGACACATAGATGCCTTTATGACAGACTGCCTATAACAAAGTGTTTTGAAATTATATATATATTCTGATATCTGCATGCGTGTGCTCACTAAAATACAGAAGATACACACAAACTGGGAACTACTATTGATTTTCAAGAGTGTGGGGTGACCTCAGGTCTCTCAGGTTGTGCAGTAAAGCAGAGCTATAACCCACTTGCATTTGATTGCTGCAAAGTGACAATAGCTTGCCTTCCTAGCTTGGTACCTGAAAAGCATGACAGGCTTGTTGGAAAAACTGCTGGATGCTGCAGTGTCCTGCAAGTCCCATCACCATTTTGGATTCGGGAGGAAGTCCCTGAGGCAGCATATAAATTTAACATTTAGAAGGAATACATTCATCCTCACTAGAACTACACAGAGTATATTCATCCTGTGTCCCCTCTCCAACACAAGGGGCCAGACCCGTCTGGATCTAGTTTACTCACTTCTCCCTTCAAAACAAAATTCTCAGGCTAGCTCTGCACAGTCCATGCTGAGGCTACTGAAAGAGGCTTTATCCCTTATCCAAGCAGACAGAGAGCCTCACTGTGCCCAGGCTGCTTCTTCAGCATAAAGCAGCACTAGGAACAATACCATGAAGTCCCCTTTATACTCTGGCCTCTGCTACCCTGAACCAACCCTCCCACTTCCTGGAATGAAGAGAGGGGATAGGAGTTTACTTATTTGTCCCCTTTCCTCTCCGTTCTAGTCTCCTCTCTCCAAATGACACACACTTACTGAGCTACCACCCACGCCCCAATAAAATCTACCTGCCGTGCTTATAGCTATGAAGAGAACCAGTTACCTGAAAGTGACCTTTCTGACAAGCCAGGTGAAGAGGTACGGCATGGTTAATATTCTTTGCACTGATATTGGCACCGTGTTTCAACAAAAGGTAGACTAACTCAGGGTGCCCATGCAGTGCAGCCACATGTAGTGGTGTAAAGCCATCCTGGTTTGTAACATTTACTCCAAGTCCATTAGCAGGGATTCTTGCAAGCTTCTGTTGGGAAAAAGAATAAAAACCACAGAAAACTGATCACAATACTTTCTATTGAGTAAAGAGCAGTTAAATACCTGCATAGTATATATGAAACAGGCAGATAGACATTACAAACACTATTGTCCAGGGAGTCTTATTTAAGTCCTTCAGTGAGCAGTTGGGTGGCACTGGCACCAGCAGCCCGAGCCAAGCCCCCACACAGTCAGCCAATCAGACGGGAACAAAAAAAGGCAAGTGG